GAGTATTGGAGATGCACACATGAATCATTTTCCCAATCTTCTCTACCAAACAGCTTCTTTTGCTGTTGCTATTATTGTTTTGACATTCTGGTACCCCCAAGTGCTACCAATCAGGTGCCTGGTATAAGATTAGAAGCATTGGTACAACAAAGAAATAATCTACCAAACACAAACTTCCTTGCTTATTTTTCAAAGTCTAGAAATAAACAGCCCAGTAGTTGTTGAGTGTTAGTGTTCTTGCAATGCTACAGATTATTTAACCTATTAGTGATTCATGCCAGCACTTAATAAGCAACTTTTTTGTTGTGTTTTCTGTATTTCTATATCCTAGCCAATGAATAACATGTCACCGTGGCATTATCAGAAATGTAAGATAAGCTTTTGTATGTTATTGCTGAGCTCCTCTAACCCAAGCCAAAGACAAAACAGAATGAATCAATGCCTCAGTCCAAACAAGCAGAACTTGAAAATAAGACTAAAGAATGATGAAACAAAAAGAACAAAAATATAGTTCTCCTAAAATTGGTCTGAAAGTTGAGACGAACCATATCTCCATYACAAAGGCTAAAGGGGCCTTTGTGCCCCTTTTCCACTAGTGCCACTTAGTGTAGTGTCGGTACGATTTGGTACGGTTCCAAGCCATTTCCATTARGCCAGATCCATGGAACCGGCACTTTTTTTCGTACCTACTTCATTGTGGTTCCAACCGGCCCCAGCTGACACCAAAATGCGACGTCAGAACACTGTTCAACAATGACTGACTAAATTTTTGCAAGTTTTTAAAATTTCAAAAGTTATTCATCAAATGTGTTTCCAYCTCTCATTTTGCCCATTACTTTTTATTCAAAATACATAAAAACCACCAACACCAACAGCCCAAAACACACCCATTGGAACCGGACTGGAACACCAGTGGAAAACCAACCTGTCCGACCCGTACCTACACCGACCGTTCCGACACTTAAGTGGCACTAGTGGAAAAGGAGCATTATAGTGTATTTACTGACAGCACTAGTCTGCACATTGGAATTAATGTGTGTAGAAATGATACCAAGAAACCAAGAGTGAAACCGACACCAAGTGCAACTAATACTGTTTACACAACGCTGAGTTCATTTTCAGAGCCAGCTTAGACTTTTAGATTCATGTAGGAACAAGGAGCAACATGAGGAAGAGACTTGTTGAAAGGTCACGAAAACAAAACTTTCTTTGTAGAGAAATTATAGTTGGAAAACTTTATTGCATATTTGTCAATAAATTGTTCTAAAAGTAGTTTTGTTTCATAACAATACTTGCGTTCTTGAATTTTGCATTCTAGATATTTCAAAAGCTAACAACCCATTACAGCCCCCCCCACTACACACACACACACACACACACACACACACACACACACACACAC